CACTAGCCCATCGCCTTATGTCTGCTAAAGTGGGTCTCTCATTGATTTCTTTCCCAAAAAACCTGACAATGCGTCTTTTTAGTAAACCAGAATCCTCGCTACCTGTCGGTTCCACAACAGAGATATCTCCATTGTTTATGCTGACCTTTGCCTCTCGAAGGGTATTGGATTGTCATTTACTCTCCTTGATTGCTTTGACATAAGGGTAGTTGTCCACAGTGATTCTAGGTGGGGCTATGGGATTCATTTTGGGGGTCTGATGTATGAATCTTTCTATCTTAGCCGCTATGTCTTTCCAACCTGCACTCAAAGCTAACTCTGGAATTATAATAACAGACCTCCCTTCTCCCTTCAGTGACAGAATGCTCATGTATCTTCCATGAACGTTGAATTTCCTGGTACAGAAATGTTCTGTCATATGTTCCTTGTACTTCCATCGCTTCACTAAATTCATTTGATCTGTCGACGCTTCTTTAAGTACAAAACAAATCCATTCCATTACCTTTCTGCCCATGGATGAACGTCTCATCATGCTGCGGCTTCTCTCCACCCATTCGAACCATACCTCTTTGTTGGAATTCCATCTGGTGATGTTAAAAGATTTGAATCCTGCGTTAAAATAAATCCGGTTGTCTCCCATATTGTACAACCCAGCTGTTCAGGTTATGGAAATTATAAGGAGTATTTGATGGTCATCACAGTTGAGCTGTTGAGGTAAAAGAAACTGAAATTTGGGCTAAAACAGAGGTTTCCCGCTCCTGGAAAAATAAAAGTCGTCGGAAATCTAAAAAAATTGTACCGATCTGGTCGGAATTAGCAGTACAGGAAGCTGTCCAAAAAAAAATTTTGAAAAGCTGCCGGAAATTGGCTCACGCGCCCGGCGCGTGGTGACTGGGTCGCCGGAAAGTGCCGCGCGTGGAGGCTGCTTCGTCGGAAAAATTTCAGTGGAGTGGTCGGAATTTCGAGGGCTGTCTAATGGTGTTCATGGAAAGCTAAAAATTCTTGTACTCAGGCTCCTCGGGGAGTGTGCCTGAGAGCTTGAGATTTATGACTTTTTTCGTCTTTTTGGACTTTTTAGCTGTTGTCCCAGATGACAAAGTTATTATTAGAAATCTTGATACTTAGTATTCTTGTCCTTGTGACAGTTTTGATTGGGCTTTGTTCTCAATCCTTAAGAAATCCTCATAACCCTTCATTTTAATCAGCCTTGAACATTTAACTTCTTTCATGTAGCACCTCCTTCAGCAAAATTTAAGGTGTGAATTCTTTACATTAAACTATCTGTCCTCACTTAGTCCACTTTCCGGTTGTTAGAAAGGCACTATAAAATGGAATTTGAGGGATGGGGATGAAGAAGGATTTAATATTCCAGATGCCATGTTTCAGCTTCAGTTGAGTAATTTGATTCACCGAGGAACACAATAAAGTGATGACATATCTTGAGTTTGTTGAACGTCTTAGGATGTANAATGCAGGAAAATATGAATCAATCACATGGTTGCTCATATCAGGAAGAATAAGTGTTCGCTTTTGTTCCAAGGAAAGCATATACTTTTGAACTTCAAAAGAACCAAACAAGAATGACTACAAGCAAATTATTACCTTCCTCCTTTCATCCGCACAAAAGTTATGTTGTTAGCTGCAAACGCATGCTCTAACACATCAAGCACGTCATTCCAACTGCTAAAGACTAGAACCTTTGCTGCTAGGTTCGAGGAAGTGATCCATAAAATTCTCCTGGTGACAGCTTCAATCTAGAATACAACTTCCATCAATTAATTGAAAATGCACAACAACTAAAGGAAGTACCTCTTCTACTGTTTAAAATATAATGAGGCATAAATTGTACTAGTATAACTTACTGGGAATACTGTATCTGCTTCCAAGGTCAAAAAAAAAAAAATTGTTGTTACATACATAATTTCCCGCTGCCACTAAACGAATGACTCAGTTCCATATTCGGTTCAAGTGCAGTTTGGTTGAGGCATTATGTATTAAAAGTAAAGCTAATCAAAACTGCGACAATATGCAATGATTTGANCAAATTTTATAAAATAAATTATACGAATATTTTACTCCTAATTTTTGCAATATTAAGACTAAGTCATCTAATATGGGGGAGAAGGGAGTAGATGAAACAATATTGGGGCAGAAGTTGTTAGGAAATTACAGTTAAATGATAAATATAATTCGAATCCTGAGGATGAAAGTAAGGAGTACCTTTGTGCTATATGAACCTCGGACATTTACAGATGCTTCAGAATTTTCAGAGACAATAGAAGAAGATGGATAAGACTTATTCTGACTGTCATCAGCATAAGCAATATTCCTGCAGTCAGTATGCTGTCTACAAGTTGGGCACATTAACCAGTTAACTTGAGGCTTCCCATGGAGGGCTAATCTTTTCTCTGTCATTGCAAACAGACCTGAAATGCAACCATCAAAGTTAAAGCATAGTATCCACCCTTAGCATTCCTTGCATAACAAATGAATGTTATAGCTTTTTATTGAGTTAAAGCTACATGGATATGCAGGTTTTGCAACTCTCTACGACCCAAAAGAAAAAATAGATTGCCAAAGCTGTGGTTAACTCAGACGTTGTCTGTAGGGAAATCAGAAGGTTATCCTCTCTTTTCTTTCCTGCAACCCTCAAAGCCCCTCTATTTGAGGGGCACCCAAAATAAAAACAGAAAAGCACATTAGGATAAAACAGATAGTAGGAACAAAATTACTTCACACGAATGTGAAGTACAAAAAATGAGCAGATAAGATTGGCATATCAACTGTAAAATTAGGTTGTCAGATTACATATAGTCACACGAGTAAATAAACATAGACTTGTGATAGCGTCCCACATCTAAAGCATGTAAATGTGTATTATATAAAGTATCTATATTCCTAAGCATAAGACACTTCATGTGTCCTCCCAATCTCCTCTTATATCGCACATGATATCAGAATTCTTATAAGAAAAAAACTAATTCTTTTATTGTCATTAGTTCCCTCTCCTCCAAAGTCAGCGCGATGGCGCATTAGCTTCAGATCAGTAGCATGTCCCGGAGAAAACTTTCTTCCAGCGTCTCACTCCATTTGTGATAGTTGACCTTTCTTGAGTACTGTAAATCATAGAGACTTCCACAGAACTCAAAATCCTCTTACAAGCAGAACTGCAGAACCAAAAAGTTGCATTCTTTGTTGGTTTCATGCAAACTAAAGAATCTAGTGCCTCACATGCTTACCAGTCTCATAGTTCCCTAAGGTTGACTAAAGTTCCAAGTTGACCAATATGAATTGCAATAAACTCGGACGAGACTTGGGTGACCGAAACCTATTTCAACAATGTTCTGGAGACTGCTTTAGATGACAGTCACCTACAATCTCTTGGAATCAGTGCAAACCTAACGAAGAGCAAAACAAAATGGAAGAAAAAGATTGACACGGACGACACTAACTAGTTGGGATTAAAGTTTAGTTGTGTTGGTACACTCACATTAACTCCGGTGTTTGGCAGAAGTGTTTTTAATTTGTCTAGAGATTTCTATGTCATTGTGGGGACAAGCATGAGATTTAGAGGATCTTTAGTCAGTGAACCTCTAAATTGCCTCAGAGAAGAAATTATTGAGTATTTGAATGATAATAGTAGCCTGTTTGGCCAAGCTTCTCCAAAGCCAAAAGGACTTTTTTTCCTTTAAGAAGTGTTTTTTTTTCAAAGTTGAAGTGTTTGGCCAAGCTTTTAGAAGAAAAAAAGTACTTTTGAGTAGAAGCAGAAGCAGTTTAGGAGAAGCAGAAAAAAGTAGCTTCTCCCCAAAAGCACTTTTGAGAAAAATACACTTAGAAGCACTTTTTCAAAAGCATGGCCAAGCACTAATTGCTGCCCAGAAGTGCTTTTCAATTAAATTAGCCAAACAAAAACTGCTTCTCACCAAAAGTACTTTAGAGAAAAAGCAATTCTCAAAATAAGCTTATTTTTGAAGCTTGGCCAAACAGGCTATAAAATGGAGTGGACATAGAGGATTCATACAGCCGATCTCAACTACTTTGAGACTGAGGTGTTATAGCTGTGTATATTGACAGTGTAGAAACAAAGAACAGCTTCCATACTTTCAAAGTGAAAATAACAGCTTTTAACTAATATCAACCCACGATATGCAAATATTCCACCCCAGAATACTTTAGAAGCATGTCTATTTTACAAATCATAGTATAATGTTGTTTTTCATTTGCTCAAGGAGGGATAATCTTCTTAATCAAATTGTCATCGACTAAGGTGGAAGATACTCACTCTATCAATAAAGAAGGAAAAGGAGCAAATGAAGAAAAATAGTTAAGTATATGTACTAAGCTTATTAAAACAATAATTATCTTATATTAGAATAGTGAGAAATCCCATTTTCTTGGCATATGCTATTTGGTCGAGTCCTTGAATTATCATGTACATTTTATCAAGGAGAAAGTTCAGTTTCTTGAATCGTAATATGAAGTGCATATAATTATAACTTACAGCGTTCCAGCTACAGCATTTATAAACCAAGGTTCAGCAAATTTTACTATTGATAAGTACAAATAAGTAGTATAAAATAGTACATTTACAATTACAGTGACTTGAAGCTGAAAAGAGGGATACCAGATGATTAGAAACTTACATTTACAACAAATGACATGCCCACATTGGAAAACCATCTTTTGGTTATTGAGCTTCTCTTGACAAACAGGGCATGTATGTTCCTCTGTTCTAGCTTGGTATTCCGTTTTTTCTTCTGCATGGGCCGGTGAGTCCATTGTGGCTTGAGCTATAGTTGAATTTTCACTACTTGCACAATGATTATTTTGTTTAGATTGAACCAAACCCTGTGAAAGATTAACATCCACAGGACTGTGAACACACATAATCAGTTCGAACACCTAATGCAGATAAGAAGCAGTTGTTTGTAAACTTGACACATGAAGGGGAGATGCCGCTTTATATGACTCTACTGCCGAACAATTAGACATCCAAAGTCACTAGTAAGTTGGCTTTCTCTTCGTATATCAGAGAAAAGAGTAACTAAAGATGGAAAATGCCTGTATCCGCNCCCTTCCTAGGATTGCCCATTGTCTTGTCAATTTCAAAAAGCTTAACAAGTAAAGATTCCCTTGAACTTTCCAATGAATCTAAGCCACTCTGAATATAAATCTTCAAAGCAGTTATGCTGCGGAAACTGTACCAAATAACAATGTCAGAAAGTATATTATTAGCAAAATGATTAGTAACAAAAAGATTGGTATTTCTACCTCCTGAAATAACAATTGAAAGGACACACTTATAAACATGGAAATACTTAAAAAAAGAACAAAAGAAAGCTGATTTCTTTTTGATTTTAATGATAAAAGAGGAAAGCTGATTTTCTTATGAGGAGCCACTAATGGGTCCCCAACCCCAAAACCACAAGAAAACACTAGAAAGGAGCAAAAAGGAGCATTCAGAGAGCACGAATATTATATATGCCCAAAAGTATGATCAACGCCGTTTTTGAGAAGAAAAACGTAGAAGAACCACTTCATGTTCAAAAGCCATAAACTACTCATTCTCTAAAGGAAGTATCTGGTAGATTATGCATTTCTATAGTATTAACCGAAATACATACAATAGTAGGATGGTTTTCTATGATATACCTCATTGACGATACATCAAGATGGTGCCCAAAATTACAGTGTTCACAATTGAGCTTCTAAAAAGATTTTTTCATGAAGGTATTGAGCTTCTAAAAAATCAGATCAACTATCTATACGAAAGTGGAATTTTTTTTCTTTCTTTCTTCAAAAGTATAAGCAAATAAAAAAGATCTCTTGATTTTCTATGCCGGCTAAGATCCAAACATACTATAATTTCCTTGAATCGCATAACTCTCATCGTCTATGGTCTTCAAAAGAGTTAAGTAGAACAAAATTAGCTTCTAACTGAAGCAATATGAGCAATCACTACATTTGTTCAGCATTTACAGCATGTATGCTTTACCGGATGTTAGCAAACAAAACTTTAGCTACTGATTGAACAAAACAATTTATGTGCTACCCAACCATTGTACCAAATAGGACCACACTAGAGAAGATGATTCCAGGAAAAGGAAAAACTAGTTCGAAAGAAACTATGACGCTTATTTACATATAAAACAACTGCAGATTTGATAACAAGGAAAAATACAGCAAAGATGCAAGAAATTGTAACTATTCATATATTGCAATAGTAATGCTAATTCAAATGTCTTTCTCAACTATTGTCATCAAACAATAATGATAGCAAATTATCTTGATGGATAAGAAAAGACTATAGAGTAAAGAATAAATCCATCACTAACCAGGAAGCAACTTTTGATGCCCTAGAGGTGTTTAGCGTCCCAGACACAGCTTCTCCTATTTTCCTGATCAATTCATTTGAGGAGTCCTTGTTTTGCTCAATATGATGTAAAACTTCCAACCACCAAGCAGAATACTGGTTCTTTCTATCACTAAATGCGTTACATACCTTCAAATATAGGACATAAAAGAATGTAAATGGAAATTGCAAAGCCTGTATAGACACAGAGACCAAGTACAAAAAGAAATAGAAAAACAGTTGAGGGGTCTAAACTGTAGACATCCCATAATTTACTGATCCAATAAATACATAAATAATCATCTCAAGACATCCCAAGCACTTTGAGTTTAGTAGCTCATATCCTGATTGTAGACAAATGTCAAAACCGTCTTCTAAGAACACCTGGACTAATTGGTCTCACAACTCTAAAACTGTCACTAAAATTAGATACTTCTAGTCTATTGATGCCAAATTAGGCAGTCTACACCTCCTAAATAGAGCGAGAGACAGATGAGAGAATTATAAGTAGTAACTAGTAACTAAGCGAAACAAATATAGTCAAGTAAATTGTGACCTTGACATTTTATTTGTGCACTTCACTATTGAACAATAGTATTATCCAGAAAATTTTGATTATTTAGTCACCAAGATAGTAAAATGGACATGCGAAAGCTCATTACCTTGTCTATGCAGAAGAATAATCAGTATGTTCCCTACTTTAAGGTATTCTATTGTCAACCAGTCAGTTTCATATTATATGCACATTGAAGAGCAAACCGAAGATTCTCCTTTCTTTTTGACCAACACACTCTGCCCATGCTGCCCACTTATTAGCTAGTTTCAAGAAGCTTAAATATTGACCTAATTAGATTTTCCTTTTGCTATATAATTGTCTTAGAGTTTGGGAATTGAAAAGCAACAAGAACGAGAAAAACCAGAATGACTAAGAGAACTCTACACACTTTTTAAGATACTTCCTGAATGTGACAGATCAAACATCTAATTTTGAAATACTACACAATTATTAGAGTCTTTGTGTTAATGTGAAAAGGATGTTGTATAGCTTGTCTATATGGATTGTCCTCTAAAATTCCGTCTTTGCATAAAAGATTAAGTTGTTGGTTGAAATAGATATTTTCTTTTTCAATTTTCAGCTGTTGGCTGGAACAGAGAGTTTCTTTTTTCACTGTCTCCACCTTGCAGGCTGAATATCTGTGAGAGCCAGGAAGTGTGAATATAAAACTGTCTCAACACCTTTTCTTGCACATTCCTAGTTAGATAGTTCCCTCTCATCTAAGAGCTCAGTTATCTGACAGATGCATCCAAGAAGAGCAAATATTAAACAGTATCCTTAAACAATTACGGACATCTTCTATGCAAAATCAGGTCTGTTCAACACAATAAGTATAGCCAAAGGTTTTCCACATCTATGAAGGCCTGTCATGAATATTTACCTGATCATATGACTTTTTGAACTCTTGTTGGGCCCCTGCCAGCTTCAAACTAAACACGGATAAGAATTTTTTCTTCAAATTTTCACATGCTGTTCTCAATGATTCATAACTTGTACATGTGGACAACTTTAACTTAGTCTCAGATTTTTCGTCAACATAATCTTTTGCCAGTGAATTTGACATTAAGTTGGATGGATCGCAAGAGCTAGCGACTAAAATGCTTTCTTCCTTAATTTTGTCTTCCCCGTGTAGAGCACCTTTATCACTTTGTCCAGCATCTTCCATGTTGGATACTTTATCTCTAGGGCTTCCAGGTGCAGATTCAAGCTTTTTCGAACTGTCAGAAGTGAGTGGGAGTATCTCAGCAAGATTATGAGTAATATGAATGTTTAACAAGGGATCCAACCGGAAATCCTCGGAATGGTCTTCTGCTAAAGCGAGTGCTTCTTGGTACAATGATACGGCTTGAGAATAATTTTGATTAATTATAGCAATACCGGCCAGTGCATTTAATGCAACAACTAATCTCCGGAGGGCTTCCTCTCCTTCTACCTTAGTCTTAGTCACCAGAACCTACAGAAAGTACCTCTTATATACGCATTTGACTGGCAACAGCTTTTAAGAAAATAACAGTTTTCTGATCCTGAATAATAACATACCGACAGAATCTCCTCCATAGTCATGGGAGACTGTTGTAGTGATCGCAACCCAGAACTCCCCACCTGGGGGTGGCAACAGGCTTGGCGTAGTTTTAGAAGTGAGTTAAAGAGCTTGGCAGCCTCTATATTTGTGATAACAACATCTGATGCAGCGTCCTCCAACTGGAAACCTGCAATGGAAGTAAATCTCAGAACACATTGCTTTCGCTAATACTATGATTGAAAAGAAGATATATATCCACCAGGTGCTTTTCTCTTGTATATATCATTTTTGAAACTTTCAATAAGCTCACGAGCGTCATTCACACAAGTCTCATGCTGCCTTTGATAAAAGTGCTCTTCAATTGGTGAAAGAGAAAGCCAAGAGACACACTCTTCTTGAGGCGGAAGCTGCAGTTCATCAGCAACATTCATCTTTGATGACCTCCACATTAGGTGCTTAAAGAAATCATGTGTGAAAGCCATCGCTCTGGAATCTCCCTTCTGGAAAGCAAAAAAGATATATCTGAGATAGAGCAATAACGAGGGGAGAAGAGGATAGAAAGAGAAGAGAAGGGGAACTTATAAGCGTCAATTGCATAAATAATACATTCAATGTTTGCTTAAGAATGACCAGACCACAAACCTCATAAGGATCACGTATAATATCGGTCCACCACCTAAAAATATTAAAAGGACTTGCATTGAGGAATCTCAAAAGACCAAACAAGTCATCAAGTTTCCTTTGTATGGGAGTCCCTGTAATGCACCACCGATGAACTCCATGTAGTCTTAGTGCCATTTCAGTTGCAGCAGCAGCATTAGTCTCCACCATTTGAGCTTCATCCAGACATATCCTCCACCATAATATTCTGGTTAGTAGAGTAGGTATAACAGGATATCTGCAACATGAAACGCCACAGAGTTATCCTCGATCTGGAAACAGCTGAAAGCCAAAAAATGAGATATAAGAAGACCAAAGCAGCAATCTGGTTAGATTTCCTAGCGATAAATTGGTCTTAGATAACAAGGTCAAAAGACGGAAAAACCAGCTAAGATCATTACTCGAGAATATCTTTACAGACGGAAAGCTCCACGCCAGAAATATGTACACAATCACCTTTTCAAGGATCTGTTAGCCTGGACAGTTTACCTTACTTTCAAGCGAGATTGCCTGGAAATCATGCCATGAACCAAACACATATCTATGATCCTTTAAACACATATCATAAGTGTTTTTTGAGAGCATTACTTTATTTTTGTTTTTTTGAGAAGGTAACATATTTGTATATTAAAATATAGTCTTCACTAAATTTGTGAAGTCACCCATAATTACAAAAGGAGTGCCCAAAAAGAAATAAAAAGACTTATAATCCTTGGTCTTCTCACAAGGAATCTAGAACATCAAAAATGGATTCATGATCCTCCAAAAACTTTCCTTTACACCAAAAATAGAAAAGAGCTAAAACATTTCATCTTTGTCTTCCGGATGTTACTGGACTTGTCTTCAAAACATCTCTTTGTCTTCAAAACATCTCTGATTTCTCTCTTCCCAAATTGTCCACCATATGCAGGTTGGGACAATTCTCCATCTCTCTTTATAACTAGAAAGGTTGCCCTCTTTATTCCAGCAAGCTAGAACATATGATGAGATCTTGATTAGAGTTGATTCCACTGAATAGCTCCAAAGTATTGTAAAACTCAATTACTCTGTCAATCTCCCAATCATTTAGAGGTCTTCTGAAGGTAAGATTCCAACCTTGATTAGTCCATGCCTCATCTAATGTTGCTTGTTGTTGTTGATGCAAGGTATATATGTCAGGAAAGAGTAGCTTCAAAGGTCCTTGGCCTAGCCAATTGACATCCCACAAAGAGATCTTCATATCATTTCCTACTTTGAACTTGGATTCATTAATCACTTTTGGCACAAATTTCTAATTGACTTCCACAAACTGACACCATAAGGACTTCTCACTGGTTTTGTTGTACATTTTCCTTCCATTCCATACTTCTCCCTAATGACCTCTCTCCACAGTGATTACTCATCTACCGCAAATTTCCATAGCCACTTCATCATAAAACTCTGATTCTGAACTCTCAGGTTTTTGATTCCCAATCCCCCCGTCTTCTTGCTAGTAGTAAGAGAGTTCCATTTAACCAGATGGAATTTCTTCTTCTCATTGTTGCCTTCCCATAAGAAATTTCTTCTTAATGCATCAATTCTCTTTACTACATTAACTGGAATTGGAAATAGAGACATCATATAAGTAGGCATGGCATCAAGTACAGAGTTAATCAAGGTTAGTCTACCCCCCATAGATAGATATTGATTCTTCCAGTTTGCTAGTTTCTTTTCACACTTTTCCAGCACACCATTCCAAATTCCTTTTGATTTGCTCTTGGCTCCCAATGGCATCCCCAAATATACAGTAGGCAATTCACCTACATTCCCACCAAGAATATCAGCAAGACTTTGTAGCTCCATTACCTCATTGACTAGATAAATGGAACTTTTGTGCCAATTTATGTGTAGCCCAGAAGTGGCTTCAAAAAGAATGAAGATCACCCTTAGAAATTTCAGTCTATGTTGCTCGGACTCTCCGAAAATGTGGCCGGATACGTGTCGGATCCTCCAAAAGTAGTGCACTTTTGAACGATCCGACACGGGTGCGGCTACATTTTGGAGAGTCCGCGCAACATAGCTTTCAGTTGTTCTCTATTAGCTTCACAAAACACCAAAGTGTCATCGGCATACTGCAAGTGGGAAATCATCATGTTGCTATCAGCCCTACAATTCACCTTGAAGCACCTGATCCAATTGTTTGTCTGAGCTCTTTTCAGCATACCATTCAATTCTTCCATGGCAATAATGAATAGGAAAGGGGAAAGGGGATCCCCTTGTTTCAGACCCCTCAGAGAAGGAAAAAAAACCGGCTGGTGCTCCATTAATAAGTACTGAAAAGCTCACAGTAGAGATGCAGAATTTTATCCAGCTAATCCATCTTCCACCAAAGCCTATTTTCCTGAGGGTTTCAAGTAGAAAGTTCTAGTTCAGATGATCATATGCTTTCTCTATATCCAGCTTGCATAGTATCCCAGGTTCCTTGCTTGTTTTCCTTATATCAATACATTCATTAGCAATTAGGACAGCATCCATGATTTGTCTGCCTCTTATGAATGCCATATGTTGAGCATCCACCAGTTTGTTGACCACCTTCTTGAGCCTCTCAATCAATAACTTGGAAATAATCTTGTATATACTGCCTATCAAACTGATAGGTCTGAAGTCTCTCAGTTCTTTGGCCCCCACCTTCTTAGGAATCAAAGCCACAAAAATAGCATTAAGGCTCTTTTCAAATATTCCTTGGTCATAACAGTTCTGAACAACAGCTACCGTTTCTTTTTTGACCACATCCCAGCAATTAATGAAGAAGGCCATTGAGAATCCATCTGGGTCAGGTGCTTTGTCTCCAGCACATGCCTTTACACTATCCCATATCTCATGTTCTCCAAATGGGCTCTGTAGCATTAAGTTATCTTCTGGTGTAATCATATGGCTGTTTCTGATGGTACCTTATGGCCTCCACTCCTCTTCTTCTGTGTAGAGGTTTTGGTAAAATCTGATAACCTCCCTCTTGATATCTTCAGGATTCTGCAAAGATTCCCCTTCTACTATCAACTGATCAATATTATTATATCTCCGGTGAGCATTAGCTATTCTGTAGAAGAACTTGGTGTTCTTGTCTCCCTCTTTTAACCAAAGGACCCTGGATCTCTGTCTCCATGCTATTTCTTCATGGTTTGCAATCTCCTCAAACTCCATGGACAATGAAGTTTTTGTGAATATTTCCTCCTCTGTCAAGCTCCTTTGGTTATGTAACTCTTCCAACTCTACAAGTTGGCTGAGGATACTTGCTTTCTGCAATGCTAAGTTGCCTTGGAAAGTTTTGCTCCATTCTTTAAGCTTTGCCTTCAAGGCTTTAAGTTTAAAAGCTAGAATGAAATCAGGCCTTCCTTCACAGGTGAAAGAATTCCACCATTCTTGTATTCTATCTTTGAATCCTTCAGTCTGCAGTCACCAGTTCTCAAACTTAAAGTATGATTTGGCTGGATCCCAACTACCACATTGAAGCATCAGTGGGGAATGGTCTGAAGTAACTCTATGGAGCAATGATTATTTTATATTTCTAAAGTCTGCATTCCAGTCAGCAGAAATCAAGAATCTATCCAGTCTAGCTACTATTATATGTCTGTCACCTTTTCTCCATGTGTACTCACCTCCTGATAGTTGGATGTCTACAAGTTCCATGTCTTCAATAACATTTGAAAACTCAACCACCAGTTCTCAAACTTAAAGTATGATTTGACTGGATCCCAACTACCACATTGAAGCATCAGTGGGGAATGGTCTGAAGTAACTCTATGCATCAACGATTGTTTTATGTTTCTAAAGTCTTCATTCTAGTCAGCAGAAATCAAGAATCTATCCAGTCTAACTGCTATTACATGTTTGTCACCTTTTCTCCATGTGTACTCACCTCCTGATCGTCGGATGTCTACAAGTTTCATGTCTTCAATAAAATTTGAAAACTCAGTCATTGCTCTTGTGATTCTGGAGCAATTCTTCTTCTCTGATGGGAACCTTACAGTATTGAAGTCCCCTGTTAGCGGAAACGTAAAAGAAAGAACACAAGATTTAACGTGGTTCGGATCAAAATAATCCTACGTCCACCAGAGAACAATTGCCCTTTTAATATTAACAAAGGAAGGGGAGATTTCCCAATTACACTTAAGAGAATTTCTCTCTTAACTCTCTACTCACTACAATGTATTGTATTATTTTGGGATGATTTCTACAAGTGAAGGAGTGCATCTATTTATAGAGGTAAAGACCTCCTCTTGATGTCATTGGTGACATCAAACTACCTCCTCTTGATGTCATGGGTGACATCAAAGGAGGAAGCTTCCTCCTAGCATCCACACCAACTCTTTCCACCAACTCTTCCAATTGGCATGCCATTGTTGACTAAACATAAACCAACATTTTCAGCATGCCATTGTTAACTAAACATAAACCAACATTTTCAAGTCCCCACATACCACCCAAGGTCTACTAAAGAGACCTTTTGCACCTGCCAGCTCCCACCAAACTTCCTCTCTCTTTCTTCTATCATTAGGAGTATACACAACTGAAAGATGACATGTGTATTCCTGAGTCTTACCTGAAAATTTACAGGTAATTGTATGTGCTCCCACACAACATACTTCCTCTTTCCATATTCTACCATCCCACATTACTACAATAACCCATCTAGTCCCACTAGCTTCTAGTTATGCAAATTTCACCCATCTATTACCCCATAATTCTTTTACTATCTCCCTGATATCCCCTTCTATTTTAGATTCTTGGAAACAAAAAATCTCTGCCTTCCAACTGAGTATCAAACTTTTAATCAATCTCCTTTTTCTAACTCTATTAAGTCCCCTAACATTCCATGATATAATGTTCACTCACATTGGCTATGACTGATAATACATCCCTCCCTACTTCTCGTTCCATTACTCTAAAAATTACTTCTAATATCCAGACCTTTCAGCTCTTTGAATCCTTTTTTCTTTGGAGTCTGAACCACCTGTGTAACTTCTTTCCCTTTGTTTGCTTGCCTTCTGTTGTCAATTTTCATGAAAAGCTCCGGTGCCTCTCTCTCGCACCCATTAAAATCCACCCCAAATTCTTTGCTCAATCTGATGATATTCTGATGCACCCAAATCGATGCCTCAAATTCCAGATCTTCTTCTACCTCTAAGCTTTGATGGTTTAGAGGCATTGCTTCTTCAATTGCCCAGTCCACAAACATATCAGATTCTTTTGATTGCATGTGCATGTTGTTGTAGTCCTCTGAATCATCTCCCTTCCCTTCGTGCTCAGCAATAATCGACATAGCATTATCCCCAAGAATAGCTTCTTGTTGATTTTCCTTATCTCCATCATCGTCCCTCTTTTCTTCCTCTTCTTCTGTGTTGTCGTTGTTTTTGTTGTTCCTGGGCTCCAATGCGTAAGTGGTTATTTGATTTCTCACAGAATGTTCAATGTGTATAGCTGTTACCTCTTCATTAAATGGATTTGGCCTGGTCTTTGTATTGGGCAATTTAAATGCCTTTTCTTCAGACATAAATTGGGCCAAAAAATCTGGGCCCAATTCTTTTAAGTTATATTGTTGAGTGGCCTTGTTAGATATGACTAAAGAGTCACGTGGCTGGTCACATGACTTTTTAGGGATAGGCTGTACTTGTTTCGAGCTCCCCATGTGTCCCGTCATAACTTTATAACATTGAGCCCCTCCCCCTGACATCTACTTGTCCTCTATTACCCGTTGGTTCAAACGACTGTCTTCTCCATTTGCACCGATGTACGTTCTCACCGGCGCTTCACACCAGATCTGGATCTCGAAGACTACCCCTTCAAATTCTATCTTCACTGCTTTTGGGACTGCGGATCCATCTCCTCTAACCTTTATTCTTGCCCATTTCAAGTGATTTTTTAGTTTCGTCTCCTCCTCAGTTTGAATCCAGCCACCACAAAACTCCCCAACTTCTTTGAATACTTTTTAGGACCATAGATGTAACGGAAGCCCTACTAGTCTAATCCATGCATGGTTCATCGTCTTATTACTTGGAACTGACCCCACCATCGGATTCCACCATTGAAGCTTAACTTTGTGTTTCTTCCAATATCAGGCGCTTCTCAATACATGGTCAGCGATTAATTTCGAAGAGAATTCGAAAAGAAACCGATTCTGGTCCATCTCATAAATATTGGTTCCATGTGCTTGCTTCCAAGAATTAGATGCCCATCTACGAATCTCCGATAAAGTTGTAATTTTGGAACTTTCTTCTGGGATGAACCCCACCAAGCACCTGCCTAACAAATCGTTGTGTTAAATCACATGAGATGCATATGGTGTCTCCTTCTTGTTGGACCGCCGCTTCATTCATTTCTTTGCTTGCCCATTTATAATTTCTCACTGTGTTTGAGTAAAGAAGACCTTCCTCAATGATTTTGGGAGCATTAATGACATTCCTCCGTACCCCGCTATTAATGAACCTTTCAATTTTTGCTGCAATATCTAACCATCGTGCATTGAATGCCACCTCTGGAACAATAATAACTTACCTCCCCCTGCCTTGGACCCTAATGATAGTTATATAACGACCATGTTTGTTGTAGTTCCTCGCACAGAATATTTCTGAGTTATGATCCTTGGTTTTCCATCTTTTCACATAGTTTCCCTTCATCTTCGATGCTTCCTTTAAATTTTCGCACAACCACACCAACGTCTTCCTGCTGAATGTAGTCCTTCCAATTAGGTTCCTTCCTCGTTCTGTCCATTCGTACCATTCTTCAGCATTTGATGAGCATCTCACAATTTCATATGACTTGAAGCCCACTGCAAAATAGATGATGTTGTTCTCCCTCATTGCAAGATTTTCACGTTAGTATGGATGAGTAAAGGATTTTAACTAAAAAAAGAACAAAATGAATTTTAATCAGAGAAAAGGAGGATTCTGATAAGAAGGTACACCAGAAAGAATAGTTCTACAATCCTAGGAAGTAGGAAAGAGAGCATCCTTGGGGAATGTGCCTGAGAGCATTTTTTTAATCCACTTTTTTGTTTTTACAGGTATACTCCGCTAGAGCATTACTTTATTTTCCACCAAGGATCCAAAGATAAGAAGAAAAAAAGTACAAAAGGATATTTGAATATAATGGCTTCAGACATCCCCTAAACACTAAGTTGCTTGGAGTCGGGTGCGGGTATCCGATACGGGAACGGATCCGAGTATCGGATTCGGCAAAACCTAAATTTTAAGATTTGGGGGTGCGGATCCGGATATGGATACGGGTACGGGGATTCGGCTAATAAAAAAATAGAGCTATAAAAATATTATAAACTTTGAGAGATATTCTGTGAAAAACTTACATGAATATTGTAGAATTCAATCTTTCATTCTCCAAGATGGACATTATTCTTTCATTCTCCTAAATCTGTTTTATTTTTTATTTTGAGAAATCAAAATCTCAATTTTTCTCCCAAATTTGTCGATGAACTCCGGTCAAAGTGTCCGAAGTCAGTTGACCGTATCCGGGACGTATCCCGCTCCCGCTCCCGTCCCCGTCTCGTATCGGGACGGGGACAGCACCAAAATCGAAGAGTCCACGCAACTTAGCCTAAACATAAAGGAAAAACATGGATACAATTTATCGTGTGTCCAAAAAATTCCATGTATCTCCTCACAGTAAAAGCCTCAAGTATTTAAACAAAATGTATAAGCTGTAAAACTTCATGCTATATTTTTGGAGTTCACATCAGCCTGGAAAAGGGGCAAAAAGCACCAGTTGCATCATTAATGCACATCCATGATCATTAGCGATCACACATCCATGGTCATTATCATCAAATGTTAAGCAATGAAGTTAATAAGTTTGATAAGAAAAAGAAAATTAAGGAAATAAAGAGATGGACGAAATTAAGAAAATACAACCAGCATGCCTACCATACACAGTTTCAGACCCAATAACCTGGTCCCAGCAATAGTCAGTCAAATACTTTTCAGAAGTTATCACACAGCAAATAAAGGATAGGTACTGGGGGACAGTCACCAGCCAGATAGTGTATAAGAAGCAAAAAAGGGAGCATTTGTCACCTTTACAATAATAATATGAACATATTCAGGAACTAACAACAAAAAGCAACATCACAAACCATGTCTCTCTATAACCAAACCGATAGAACTCCCTTGAATTTAGGTCACTCAAAGAGAAGGAGAATTCTTCCCCGGTAAGGACCGACAAGGTCGGAGATCTATAAAACATACTTTTCGATTTAATAACAGAACCAGTAACATTTCTGGAGCTAGACTCCAGCATCAATTTTTTTAAGCTGTAGCATCATGTAGGAGTCTGCCGTGATGCCTTGATTTCAGCATTAAGAACCAACAGAAAGTCAGCAAAAGCAGCACTTCCACCTTAAGACGACTCTCTATCCAAGCAAAATCATAAAAAAGAAAAAGGAAATTGCAGGCTGAAGGGAACCTTTTCTCAAATCTCATAGCTCGACGATCACCTTCATGCCTGTCAGAGTCGTGTGATAAGTCCTCTTTCAGTACGTCATAAGTTGTCAAAACGATGTCGGCACTAAGAAGCTCATTTATATCTGGCAAGGGCGTCTGTGATAAAGAGCTAGTCCCCACGCCTTCATAAATGCATGTTTTCAGCGCACCAGGATTTGTATGACTAGCAATAGGAAGGAATGTTGGGTAAGCAATCAAGATACACAATTTGAATAAGCATTCAAAAAAGACTGGAATTATTTTGAGCATAATGTGGCCAAGAAAGGCAAGAAAACTAGCACTAAACCTATTTCATATTGTCATGGAAAACAACCTGCTCCTAGTCATCATAAGAGGAGAGTACATTAGGGAGCAGAGTAATGCCCCCCTCAAGAAGAGAATGTACAAGCCAAGCAATAGGCAAAAGGAAACAAAATCCCTTCTTTCACAGTTTCCTCTGGTCACTCCCATAAGTTCAGGAAACAGGAAAAGGAAGAAAGCTTGACTGAGTTATCTACAAGACAACTAAAGCACAAAATTGGATTCAAAAAGATCAACCACATCAGACCAACTAGCCCTTTATTATCAGTGATTACTTTTCTTGTATCAACAACTGGTCATCTAAATAGGAGATTTTAGATCTACTCTTTCCAAATTTTCAGGGGATCTTCATTTTTTTTAACAGTGGTATAGAAGCTTTTATTCAAATTTAAGTACCAAGATGATACTGACAGTTATACAAAAGTCTAGACTTGTATAGATTACATTAATACATAACATACGATTCTAACAAGTCCATAAAATCAGTAGCAAAAAAAAACACTTTGTACGGGCTACAATTTCTAAATTCACCTTCATTTATGTGGCGAAGTTCAATAGCAGAACTTTTGTTATGCATACCACTGATAATGAGCAGTACACCAATTTGTAACACTTAGATTTCAGTTAAGCTTAAGATCTTTATCAGTCCATATAATCAGTTATATAACCAGACAGAATTGTCAAAATACACAGGATGCAGTCTGCTGTTACCACCCAGTATCTCATAGTTCAGGGTCCAAGACAACTCCAGCCATGATATTGCATAACAGGATTACAGACGCTCAACACTCACCGTGAATACGTAGACTAAATGTTGCGGACAATTTCCATCACATGACATCTGTGATACAAGAAGAAGTCTGCGTCCTGAAGTGATTGGAGGAGAGAACACTGGAGCATGATATGCCCTGAATTGATTGCAGGAGAGAACGATCCAAGGAAGGAAAGCGAGACATAATGAGACAGGATCACTAAGCTGCCCAAGCTCTAATACGAGGATGCATGGATATCAAATGGTTGTTTTATTAACTGACCGAACATATAATCAAGTAATGCCATGAGAACAAAGCAACTAAAACAACACACCAGTAATATATGAAAAGCATCTAGTGGCGCTTACCTACAAACTATAATTCAAGCCAATAAATTTACTATAGACTATTGCCTCAAGGTTTCAAACTCAGTAAGCATAGTTTAACACAATTACATCCTTTAAAATCATTAATAATATCGCTCTGAACATGAAGGGTGAAAAATTATCAGTAATATACCAATATGAGAAATGACTAGACACAGTTTTGTTGTAATACAGAGATTGCAGTTTGCCATTACCACCCACCATCTCATAATTCAAGGTCCAGAAACAACTCCAGCCATAATGTTGCACAATAGGATTATAGGTGCTCAACACTAAGCCTAGATGTTGTGGACAATATTCATCAGATGACAGCTATAATCAAAAGAACTGGAGTATGATTTGTCCTGACCGGAAATCCCAGAGAATGATTCAAGAAAGGAAAGGGTGACATCAAGAGAGAGGACAAGAAAGCTGCCCAAGCTCTAGTGCGAGGATGTAGGGATATCAAATGGCTGTTTAATTCACTAACTGAACATATACTGAAGTAAAGCCGGGAGAATAAAGCAACTAAAAGTCAAAAAACAACAACAAATTATGAAAAACATATACTAGTGCATATCTCAAATTTTGTGCTGATGATTCAATTAATATGTTGGATTTGTTACCTTTTCAAAAAAATATACTAGTGCATATCTGCAAACTGATTCAAGACAAAAAATTAACTATACTCTACTGCCTCTCGGTTAAAACCATTCCACACTTTAAACTCTCTAATAACAAGGAGCTCTGAACATGATATCAAGAGAGTAAAAATTTTCCAATGAAACATCTACCGAGCAAAACATAACAAAAAGCTCTTCCTGATGACCAAAAATACATGCATATACAAACTTTTTTGGTTGTTAGCATCTGTGTCAACTGTTTTATATATGGTTCTACCTTCCATGAACCATACTCTATTGGGAGGAAATCAAAGGAAAAAGATGTAATTCAGGAGGGTAACATGAATAAATGACATGTTCGAAATGGAGTAAGGGAAAATGAAAGGACAAGTAAGAATACCGAACAATTTCAGCATGCCACTGGGGCAATATAGGAGCTGGACACACTATAAGAGTTGCACCTGTGGCAACCGGCGCTACAGTAGCTTGGATCAGTTCTGAGCACTGTTCGCAGATATAGCCGCCTTCCATCTCAACTATTTTAACATTGTTTTTGCGTTTAGCTCGCTTGCACATATTGACAGTTGACTGCTGTCCATTTAAGATTGCTTCGCATTTTGCATATTTCTTTTTAGGAGAGTAGCCGACACAATCTGCATGTAGCCACGCATCACAAACATCACACTGAACCCACAATCCTTTATATCTGATGCTTTCACTCACAGAACCACATATACACTCAACACGCTCTCTTTTCAGTCTTTTCAGACTATTTTTCTGACCCTCATCACACAGCAATTCACCAGTAAAATTGCCAACACAAGATGATGGCACCTGATGTCCAAAGATACAAGCAAGCAGCTCAACAGTTTTTCCCAGCCCCATCTCATCTGCAATATGACAATAACAGAAGAAGCAACCCAAACGAAGTAAGGCTTTCAATGACTAAATTGCCAAAAGGCATTGTTAACAGTTGAGGTACGTAATATTTGGAGAATTGCCTAACATCATATATATTGAAACATTCGAGCATGCACCAATTACTTATACGGAAAATTATATCAGAAAATAAGCAAAGCATCCCTTAATAACTCAATGATAAGGTAATTAAATATGAGGAAAGTGTTTCAATCAAAAAGAAAAATTGAAGGGGAAAAAAGACCTCTTTGAAAGCAACGGGACATGTTTTTACTGAAAGCAATCACATGTCAGACAGTAAATAATATCCACATTTTTTAATCAGTAAGGTAAATTCCATTAATTAACAGCACCAAGAAGGTGCTTAGATACGAATAGAGGATCAGCCAGCAGGAAAAAAAAAAAGGCAAAGATACCGCATGATCCATTGATCCTATCTATCCTAGAAAAGATTCTATGGCGTCCAACACATTTTCAGCACCAAGGGATACAAAATGAAATTGTTAAAGGACAGAAAGCAATAACATAAAATGGTGGATCAAGGATGAACAGTCATTTCACTTACCAGCTAAAATACCACCAGGAACAACTGGTGGGGGGATCTCTGGATGCAAGGATACATTTCCACTGAAAAGTAACATCAGAAACTGATCATTAGATAACTCTGCCTAAGTGGTTAAAATGTATGACCAATATAACTTAACAAAAGAGATATTTAAGGGAGATATCAGTTAAATCCAAAAAAGTTCTTTTTCAATTTTTGACTCCTTATGCTTGAATTAAGAACAATATAGTTGTGAGCTACGGAAAAAAAGGAAGAAGAACCAATCAATAATGATCCCAGCCATCAGGAAGAATGAAATTTTCCGTTCATGCGACCTTTTTCAAAAAAGGGGGGACCAATGGATTCTTGTCCAGGAATTAGGGATGTAGATAACAAGTCACATCCCAATCCAAAGAACAGAAAATGACGATAAACTGATCGCCTACCTTTTGAATTCATAAAACGCAAGATAGCAAAACCAAATTCAGTTAGTGCCAACAGTTGTAAGTGTCCATTTCACCACAAGGGGATCTATTGGATGAACCATGGATGAAAAATACTTCAAAGGATGGTCAATTCAGTGAATCTGATGGTAACATTCTGTTCATTAAAGAGAGAGAAACATACCAAAATGGATTGTAATATATTGTCATAGAGGTGTCAATTAAACTCAGTCGCATACATATAGGAGAAATAAAGTGATTTGTTTTGCTTTGCAAAGAGCCATCAAAATTTCTTTTCTCCCTCCGCACCATCCAATAAGCTGCACGACGCTGGTAAGGTCTAAGCTTAGGAAGCAAACCAGGGAGGTTATCATCCAGCATTGGCTCCTCCCTACAGGAAATATCATGAATGCAAGCCAAGTATGAGGAAATTTGTAGCATAGCCTACCTAAATATAAACTTTATGTCAAACACTCACTTTGATGGCTTAATAGCTTCATAGAAACTAGCTACATCAAACCTAGAACATTTCCTTGAAGCAGAACTTTCAGCCAGCCCTGAAGCTAGACCAACATCCGAATGCGCTGCCACCTCGTATCCATATCTAGCCTCTGAAGTCACAACCTCTGGACGTAGCCAAGCCATCACATGCATCATGCTCTTTTTCCATAGCTGTCTGGATGTATCAAGAAGTGACTCACACGCGTCAAATGCACTTTTTAAAATCTCCACCCTCAACCGTATAGATGCTAAACAACTTGGAACAATATGCCCCGTAACAAGCCTCAACGTCAAGAATTTCAAACTAGCCAAATGGACTAGCCCTGATATACCTTCATCAGGTCCATCGAAATTTCCCTCCACCAACACAACATTTTCCTCCAAACCCTCCTCCTCCTTTTTCACTACAATTTCCAAACATATACTACTAGCAGATAATACAGGCCAATGACCTAACTTTATCCTACTAAGATACTCATTAACATTACTCACCCTAAACCTCAACATATACCTCGAATCCCGGCAAAACTCCTCATCTAATACATAATGACCAAACTCTTCACTAACATTCAAGTCAGATAAAACAATTTCAGAAATATCCATATGTTCATCAGATAACCAATTAGACCTATCAATTTCAACAAAAAATGGCACGTCGACTTCAAAAGACTCATCTTTTTTTGCAGTTTCAGCATCCGTTTTTCCGTTTAATTGCCCATTAGGAACTTCTCCTTCCAAAATTCCTACCGAACGATTTGGCTTAGATTTCCTTCGACCCATTGCTGTAAAAAGTACATAAATACAAAAGAGCAATGTGATTATAAGATACTTAATAGTTAATCCTTTACGTCTTATTTCTAATAATAGCCAAGAACCTGTACACATAGCAATGACAATTGAAGAGTTGTAAAATGAACTTGAGTGAGCTACTCACGCTAAGGGAACAAAGAGTTACATAATTCAATGGCTTCTCAGAAAACTGATAGCAGTTGAATAAGTTTTTTTTTTTTTTTAAAGTGAAATAAGCTAGTACATAATTTCTGCGGGAAACCTTGTAGAAAATTGAAAAAATAACTGAAAGGGACAAATAGTGAAACCTCAAATTCCCGCGAGTAGAAACGTTGAGCTTCGAGTTGTAAGAGAAGGTTCGAAACCTTTGATTGATTTGTTTCCGTATTGGGAGAACATAAACGGCTAAAGTAACGGCACTGTTCACAAAAATCTTGAATATAATCGACTGTCTTGTTAGCGTCTGTCGTCTATCTCTAGTGACCGCCTGTGTTGCTACCCTCTGAGGATATTCTGGTCATTTCAAATTTTAAAAATAAGGACTGGTAAAAGAAACAAGAATAACAAAATGGTCTACTATATATTGGTGCAGGATTAGTACGCGCCCTCGAATTCTGTTGGTATTAAGTTTTTATGACTATCCGTCATTTTCTTTTATTTTGATCATCTTATTATCATGTTGTTTCTATGATGTTTTTATATAGTTTTTTTTGTATTGTCCCTCATTGTCTATCTTTTAATTAATGTGATGCTTATGTTTTTCTGAGCCGAGGGTCTAGTGAAAATAGTGTCTCTATCTTCACAAGGTAGGTGAAAAGTCTGCGTACACACTACCCCCAATGATATTGGATAATACTAGGTATGTTGTTGTCGTCGTCGCTATTTGAAGGTACAATTTTTACTATTTTGGTCTAATTTTTATGTTTGATGCAATTCTTTTAGGTGTAAGTTTTATCTTTGCTCTATTTTGTACTTGATGCAATTTTTTGTGTTTCACGATAAGACTTGGACGAACCAAATCTAAAGTTGTTGAAGTTATAAATCCTATTGTGATCATTGAGATCTGTTGACGAGCCCCTCGCCTTTGAATACGATAGCAGTCCATACATAGACAACTAACAAATAAGTCACTAATATACAACTAATAAAATAAAGTCGGTCACTATTGAGACAACTCATAAAAATATTGTTTTTGTAGTTTGCTAAGAAACTTTTAATATTTTTCACGATTTCTATTAAATACAGTGGAAATTTTGTTAAATAATTGATGGAGACAAAAAATATTCACTTTTTACAAACTAAAAGTACGTTTGTTATATAAATCGATGGAGAAAAAAACATTCACCTACAAAATTATAGAACTAAAAGTACTAAGGAGTATATTTAAAGGTCTACTTTAAACCCACCCAAAACTTAAGGGGTCATTTTTGATAAAATTTCCCAGTAAAATAAACAAACTGAACTGGGGCTTAGGGTTTTGCAGTGTGTTTCCAATTGGGCAAGAAAAAAGATCGAAGAAGGGTCTCAAAAATCAAAATCGGAGAAAAAATGAGAGGGGGAAGGAAGAATTTGAAGAGGGCTGTTGAAGAAGAATTTTTCACTCTTCAACAAGGGCAAAGCATTATGCAGGTTGTGGACCTTCGAGGTTCCAACCTTATTAAAGTATGAAAAATCGTACTCATTTCTTCCTTCTTCTTTTTGTGTGTGTGTTCTGGAGTACTTGTTTTGTTTTTTGTATGAATTGATACTGAAATTTTTAGTTTTTTTTTTTTCAATTTTGAAGGTGATGGATGCGAAAGGTGAAACATCAATAGCAATATTTCCAGCTAAATTTCAGAAAAGCATGTGGATAAAAAGAGGTTTGCTTTGGTATTTCCTATCCTAAATTTTTGGGGGATTTATTATGGTTGTTGATTTCATGCCTTTATTTTTGTCATTGAATGAATAATGTGAGTGTTTTCCTTCGTGTTTTGTATCTTTTTCCTCAATGAATAGGCAATTTTGTTGTGGTTGATGAGAGAGGAAGAGAGGAAGCTGTTGAGTCAGGTAGAAAAGTGGGATGTGTTGTTACGCAGGTACTCTATTATGAACAAGTTCGTGTGCTTCAAAAGTCACCTGAATGGTGAGACTCTATAATTCAAGCACCTATTTTTTCGCCCTTTTTTAGTTTTAATGAAAGGGGGAGGAGATTATTCCTTATAAAAATCTGTTCTTGATTGGGAAAGGAAAAGAGTAGGGTCATACTGCTCGATGAGCCTATTGATGTAAATCTCTATTGGAAATGGATACATTAGTTATAACTTGTGAACTTGCAGCTCGAACATTTACAAAGGATATTGAGATTGAAAACTGATCACTGATATCTGGAAACAGAAGCTATGATATTTGGCTTTTTAACTGTCAAGTTGGCTGTAGGGGTCTACTCCATTTCGAATTTTTGTGGTTTTACATCTACCTGAAGAATAGATCTTGACCTTCTTATAGTAAGTCCCTAGGTTGTTTCGTTACAGCATATGTCAATCGGCTTAGAAAAAAAGCCTCTCAGTAACTACTCTGCTGAGTGTGTGTTTTACTAAGCCTTGATTTCACATAGTTGGACATTTATGCTTGAACATGCTATCGTAATTGATAGATTGGTCTGTATACTCCCCATGCATATATGCAAATAGTTGGTAGATTTTTGGAGACACCACCCCTAAGTGAACTTATTTTATCATACTACCTCCCGTCATCAATCCTCTGAGCGTGTTGTCTGATTGGTTGCGAGAGTCTACATCGGAATGCTTTTCTCCTACCATGGTGTACTGCTCCCCTCCCCCCAAATGGTTTTCGTTCAGAAATTTCTTAAGTATGCAATACTCTGTGCAGGCCAGAGGTCTTCAAATCCACAGCAGTAGAGAGTTCAAAACAGCATACGCAATCAGATAATACCCAGATGGATGAGAATGAAGACTCAAGTGATGATGATGGACTCCCTCCCTTAGAAGCCAATACAAACAGACTAAATCCATTTCAACAGGAGTCCGAGACAGAATCTGATTCAGATACTGATTCCTGATCCATGCTTTTGGGCATTCATGGCACCATAAATGATGCCTTCATTTTTGCGAATGAAGTTGGTTGTAAAGACATTGCTATCTTTGGATGCTATTGATTGTAAATCTGCTTGCTATTGAATCAATGTCTGTTAGTGGTTAATATGTCAAGCCCACATCTGGAATGAGTAAACTTCTGAAGTTCCACATTTAAATTTTCTAAAATCTGTTTGCTGGAATGCTATGTTTGATGTGATGTTCTTCTATATTAGTATAAATATGCATAGGCATACTTAGTGGAATTGCCTCCTGATTTAAGGTGAATGAGCAAGTAGCAAGGTCGATTAGCTTTTACCCCTTGTGTTGGAAAAATTATGATGCAAGGGTTTCTATATATGTAGCAATTGCTACTTCGGATTGTAGAAACTTTCTACTATATTAAAGGGAGGAAGAGGTTGGAGGGGTTAGCAATAGAACATTTAAAATGTTTTAAGTTTCTATTATACCAGGAAAGATTCACAAATATGATGAGATATCTTTGAACTAAACTTGGTAAACTTGTGAGACCAAAAGTAGGTGGGGAGGATCACAGGACCAACACCATCTCTTTATTATGTCTTCTTTCTTAATGAATTTATTTATGGTTTAGCTGCTCCCTGCTCAGAAAAACACTAGAAAGAACAGTCGTGATGGCATCCCAGTGATGATACACACTTCAGGAAAAAGGGCATGGATAGAAAACAACGGAATTGCAATTTTTGAGTATTCATTTCAATTTTACAACATCCTTGAGTTCTGTTTAATCTTAAGAATTATGTCCAATCTAATCCTTGGCCAAGTGGAAACTGGAAAGTTAAAGAAAAGGACACGGAAATATATTTTTCCAGATTTTCTTCATGACTGGTTGTTTACGTGCTTTAGCCTGGAATCCTGGATCTTCCATGAAATTATTAATAAAAATAAAAGAAAGATTATGCCTTGAATGTAAGTAGCAGATTCTCAAACTTACATTAGTATTAGTTAAAAGTGTTAGAAATAACCGTCTCTTCTAGAAACTTCTAGTGTGGCCCACATATAAGGTAATAAATTTTTTACCTTGTCTCCCAAAGGAAATGATATATTTTGTAGTTATGCATATATGGTAGTTTCTTTGATGAAAAGAAATTACCATATATTAGGAGTCCCTAGGGTAATTATAATTTATGGAGAAGTCCCTGGGGCTAAAGTATTTGCCTAAGAATCCCTAGCATGCCTATAAATACGCTTGTGACTCCATCAGTCTGGCATCCCACGATAGGCACAGGCTAGAAGGCTCCTAAGTTTTCTGTCAAAGCTTTTACAAGGTGATTCCACAACACGTGAACAATTATGGCTGAAGGTACGTTCCTTGTTTAATTTCCGCTGCGCTGGCTCTGTATATGTATTCGAATTTCAACATGTGGTATCAGAGCTTACCTTTAGCCGTGTTGTTCGGTATTTATTGCTCTTGATTACGAAAATATTTGAATTCTATGTATATCTGCCGGCGGATTGTTGTTTGCGTGTCGTCTGTGGTATTTAAGAAAAACACATTAGAAGTTCGATAAGGATCTGTTGTTCGAAATTTTAACTTAAGACTTGAATCTGCATCGCATCATGTGTTTTTGGGTTTGCATTGTAATGTAACGATGTTAGTCGGCGTTGATACAACACAGACACAGAACATCTCTTTAAAAGAATATTGAACTTTTGTTCAATCCTTGAAACCTTGAATTCTAATTTTGTCCTTTCCTATTTTGAAGTGATAATATCAACCACTATTTTTCTAATAATGGTTTTTGCAAGTTGTGTCGTTTCTGACGTTTACCTTGCCGATTTGTAATATCATGGAGTTTCATATATATTCTCTAATCAATTAAGAAGAATATTTAATTCATTGGTAACCAAAATATAATGGGATGTTTTGTGTTTATAGTAACAGAGTCTGGTTCAAGTTAGTGCTTACTATAAGTTTTCGTACCTTGTTACACTAAAAGTTATGATGATCATAAATGCTTTTGGTTATCACGTTTGTGTACGTTATAAAGCCCATGATTCTATCTAATGCACGGAAGGTTCCCATCTCATATATTTTACCAGATCTGTTTGGTTTTTGTCTTTAAATTATGAGAAAGGGAGTAGTTACATAATTTAAACAAAATTATGTTATACGACTATACTACTGTTTTATGTTCTTATAATATTAATTATAAGAATTTACCTTGGAGTATTATATAACGCTATGGTTATATCCAGTATGCCTATTCAAAAGCTAATCAACATCTTGTTTAAGTTGATTAATTACAGTTAATTATTTTGAGATGTCATTTGAGTTTTCTTTTA